ATTATCTGTTGAGACCCATGCCCTTTTGAGCTCAAAGTCTATCCATCCCTACATGTGGGTATAATATACCTTAGTCCAGAGCAATCTAAAATTAACAAATAATAGGAACAGTTAAATTCAAACATAAGACAACATGTCCTACTTCAGTGTTCAAAATATAATTAAAATCTCACTTCTTATCATTTATCAATTGAAACCGAGTGAACAGAGACATACATTTTTTTATGTTTTTTTGTGTTTCATATATTGTTCTAATTAACTAACTAGTTTTAATACAGTACACCAAAAATCATACTATGAAAATTATTAAACATAAATCAAAACAGTACTACATTCTAACAAGATTATGACTTCACATAAACACTACAAAAATAAATATCAGCTACTTAAATATTTAAAAAAAAAAAGTTTAGTGTCCATATTTTCATTTTCACAAATTGTTACGTACAGTGTATATACAATACAAACTTTTTTAACTTTTCAAATGTGATTATATGTTTGTGCTTTTGGAAATGGATCTTTAATTAGCCTTATTATTTTGCATTTAAGCCTCTTTTTGAGCATAAAATGTAATTAAATTCTGAAAATGCAATTGTTGTATGTCCAATTATTTCGTTGTATTATCATTTATCCTGGTGTGCTTTCACCCAAGTGGTATAGTTAAGACGTGTATGGGGTTTTGTATGGAGGACGAAACCTGCAAAAACAATAAATAAATAAATATGCAAATAAATAAATAAATGTGTGTATAAATACACAAATTCTTGTTTAAATACATATAGAAATAATTAAACATGTGATTAAAGTAGACAAATAAATAAAATAAATTGGTGGTCAAATGGAAAATGTTTAAGGAAATGCTAAACTCATCCTCTTTATTTTCCTTTGATCACTCATTTATTTCTGAATGTAGTTCCACATTTATTTTTCCTCTGCACAACATGCTAATGAGAGGGTGTCAACCATGGACTTGGTCGGGTCTTGTGATAGCTGGGGGCGCGGCTTTCCCGCTGACAGGAGATGCATGGTGTTAATCCAGTATAGCCTAGTAAAGTCACTTTTGCCATTCAACAGAGCAAGATACATAGAAAAATTGAGCCGTATTGTCCGTACAGTATCTGTGACTTTACAAACGACCCAACGGAATGGCCAGAGGTGTCATTTCCCGGCACTCGATATTCGCAAATCTAGGGACCGTCTCTAAAGTTACATACGACATTGGTACACACTTTTCTAACTTCAATAGCATTTGAGGAAAATTACTTACAGTAACACAACCAACTGTGAAGTGGTCATGTTGTTCTCGGTTATAATGCACACCTTTTAGATTTTTGATATTTATTGAAACATAACGCACACATATTATTACCACTGTGTCATTTGTTGCAGCCGCAGTTGCACCTATCGACCGTTGGAATTTAAAATTTTAACCCAACTGGTTGTGTTATAGAAATAACCCAATAAACATAGGAATAACCCAACAAAACGACACAACACGTTTAACCCAGATATTGGGTACAGTAAATAACCCAACGTTTTTTAGAGTGTAGTAGTGATGTCCAAACGTCTGAAAATCTGGAATTAAGAGTCTAAATTAAACCTAGAAATTAACAGAGGTTTTGAAAATTTTGTTTAAATATTGATATAAAATGACTATTTGAAGTAACATTTTAGCTGTTTTGCTGATAATTTCATTTGTAATGTAAAAAAATATTATATTACAAAAAAGCACAGTAGATGCATTTTCACTAGTGGATCACTGTATAAAATCGCAAGTAGAACATATAGAAAATGTGAATTAAATTAAAAGTATACACTCGTTTTACTTACTATTTACAAAAGTCTTTCTAAATTCACAAAAATATAAAACAGATGTATGTTTTTTTATTTACACTGTAAATGACATATATTAACCATATTAAAATGGTACAGCTACTAATAACTCTGCCAGCATTGTATTTTCCAGGCTGAATGTTCATATTTTGTGTTCCACAGAATAACAGACCAGGACTACCTGGGCCTAAAGGAGCCAAAGGTCACAGAGGATCTGAAGGAAGTTCTGTAAGTGCAGCGCTTCATGTATTTGGCATGTGTTTACTGTATATTCCCTTACTGGAGTATGATAAAAGTTGACATATTATATCATGATTCATGTTCTCAAATGAAGGTTCATATGAGTACGATGTTCTGCACCAATTATGGTGCTTATGTCAGTATCCTGGCATACTGTAATCACTTTATTTGTATTCTGGATCAGAGTAGCAAACATACTGATCTGCTGTCAGAATTGAGTCTTGGAACTTTTGAGATCTAAAATGTTTGCACAAAATGTCAAGACGTCCAAAGGCGCATGGATGTTCAGTTCGACCTTTTGTTGAGAAATCCAATGGAATGTGATCAACAAATCTAACCTCAAAACTTTGGCCAAATAAAAGTTAGAAAAACAAGTTTTATTGTTAGTTTGATATAGTATCTGAAACACCACTGGCCACATTTGACATGTTCACTTAACCTAAAACATGTCAAAAACCTGGACCTGAACCTGGTTAAATATCTAAAAAAAATATCTCCAAAACAGATACATATAGAAGATGATTGGCATTATTATATTTTCAGAAGTAAACAACCAGGCTCTTATACTGTACTGTCCAGAGGAGCTAAGAGAAGTTTTTAAGTGTACATATCTTCAGTTATGTGAAAGGGCGCTGAGCAGCAGTGAGTTATGGGAGTGTGGGAAGGGAAATTTCTCTCAGCCTGCAATTTTGTGATGTTCCTCTTTGCCACTGGATGACATCCAGAGAGGAGGAGACTTAACGGTCTCAAAAATATTCTTATTTGGAATGAGATTCAGAGCTTTTTTGCTCTGGCAGAACTACATCTGTGTAGCATGTAACAAAGCAGGCAGTGACCTTTGCACAGACCTTCTTATGTTGTTCGATATTACAGAAGCAGTCATATTTGCATTTGGTGTGTGAATTCAGTTTGCACATTGTACATTTCATGTGTCTTGTATTCATGCACAGGGACCACCAGGACCACCTGGGCCGCAAGGAGCTGATGTGAGTGAGTTAAAATGGAAATAAACTTAGTTTTACTGAATGCACAAATCAAAGAAAGGCAAACATTGGATATAGTCTAATGCAAATGTTCCAGCACAGGTTCCTGTATGAAGAGACAAAGAGCAATGCAAATAATGACAGTGCTCTTGATAAATGATCCTGAACATTCCACAATTCACTTTCCGCTATTTTTGTGAATTCCACATTGTTGACAGTCAGTAGCGATGGAAATCTCTAGCCAAGGCCCAAGCACATACTAGACTGCTCCTTTTGTGGAATACAAGCATATTTTAATAGCACACAACAGCTGCCTTGTTCCAGCTACATAAAGAAATGAATGCATGACACTATAGATGTGCAGTTTTCAAGAGTGACATTTGGGCCTTTCGTACCGCTTTAGTTCCAGAACTAAATGTACAGTACTAAAGTACTGGGATGATTTTGCGCAAACTATTTCCCAGTACCATTTAAAGGGTTGCATTCGCAGCGTCCCTATTTATAGAGGTCGTTTTGGCCCCTTTTTTCTGAGGGCCACTTATAAAGCATAATGCAAATTAAAAAATATATATATTGTAGCGGGGTGAATGAGACCACAGACACAGAACTACGGGAAGTCCCCCAGGAGGGTGCTTTATTTACACGTGGTGCTCTTCGTGCGCAGGTGAAGTGTCTGGGCAGGGGGTCACACGGTGCTCGGTGGGGCAGGGGGGCACTCGGTGCTCGTGCAGCCCTGCCCTGATCACTCGTCCAGAGGGTCGCTGGTCTCTACACAGGAGGAGAAGAAACAAAACGGACATTAGTTTCTGCCTGGAGCTCCTCTTCCACCTTTTCCCCTGTGTGCCTTCTCTCCTGGCTTTAAGGCCTGCTGGAACGAGCTCCAGCTGCGCCAATCATCCCGCACAGGTGGCGGTA